TGCTTGAAACCCTCAAACATCATAAGGATAATACAAAGTTTGAGATGTTTGTTTTCCTAAAAACCAGTCATGGCGCTATTCACCACATGCCTTGTCTCATCAGTATTGCAAAGTTATTCTTTCTGTAAGCTGTCTATAATTGTAGCTTGATTTAGAAACTTGTTTGCCTCTTTTCCAGACACCGATCTGCAAAACAAAAATGATCTTACTGGTTAATCAACAGCTGACTGTCTTTGTTGTTCTCAAGCATATATCTTGAAGCATTACCATAAATAGCAAAAACGGTCAGTAAAGTACATTTGTCAAAGAATGTAACCCCTTTACACCTTTGTTCATTATTTGAAAGTTTAAACTGTGTCCCAAACAATATTACACAAATAATATAACACTGATATAACCAACATCATATTGTTTTAATAATTCATGCAATTAAATAAGGTTTTACGGCTATAAGAAGTGCATGCATTTATCAGTAAATGACTATGTAGGTTATAGTGTTGTGTTATAGCCATACATTTAATCATGCCTGCGGTTACGATTTGTGGTATTCTTTTCTGAACATTCAACTAGAAACAATGTGCTTTCCAGTCAGAAGCAGATATGCATGTTATCTCTGAAGGGTGGAGATTATGCTAATATGCATGTCTGTCTACATTTCACAGAAAAGTACACAGATAAACTAGAGATTAATCTGAGTTGTTTGGGCATACAGTACATTCAGCCTGTTTAAAGTCAGTCCACATGACTTCTGTGTTACATTCCAGCTTATTCTTGAGCTTTAAAATAGCATATTTACAAGTATAAAGGGAGTATTTACAAGTGTAAAGGGATCATTTATATTTACTTTTTTATTTTATTTATTTATTTATCCTATATTTTTCCAGGAAGGTCCCATTGAGATTATACGCAATCTCTTTTTCCAGGGAGTCCTGGCCAAGATGGCCATAACAAAATTTCACAAAAACACACAGACACAAAACACATTATAAACAGCCAATACAAAACAACAAGCATAAACCACAGATTAATTAAAACAATTACTTGGGTCAGTAATACATTTTTCAAAATATGGAAAGAAGGAATTATTTCGAAGGGAATGATGGCTTGAAATGCATTCCACAATCATGGAGCATAATAGGAGAAAGCTGATTTTCCATGCTGTGAATGTACCCCAGGAACTTTTAATTGAGTCCCATTTGAAGATCTGGTGGTATAATGTTCCACACGAGGATAAAATACTAGGAATGTCATTTTAATTTTAAACAGTCATACATTTTGCTTTGTTTGCATTTAAATCCAATTTCAGTTTAAAAAAAATAAACTGAAGAAAAAGTATAAAAAGTTTTGGATTTAAGATATATGTTTGAGATGTAAATATACAAATTACATGTAACATCTGGATTTAAATTGAAGATTTAGACAATAAATGAACATAAATTTAATTAGTTAAATATATATATATACAGTGGTGTGAAAAAGTGTTGGCCCCCTTCCTGATTTCTTATTTTTTTGCATGTTTGTCACACTTTAATGTTTCAGATCATCAAACAAATTTAAATTTTAGTAAAAGATAACACAACTGAACACAACTTGCAGTTTTTAAATGAAGGGTTTTATTATTAAGGGAAAACAAAATCCAAAACTACATGACCCTGTGTGAAAAAGTGTTTGCCCTCTAAACCTAATAACTGGTTGGGCCACCCTTAGCAGCAACAACTGCAATCAAGCGTTTGTGACAACTTGCAATGAGTCTGTTACAGCGCTGTGGAGGAATTTTGTTCCACTCATCTATACAGAATTGTTGTAATTCAGTCACATTGGAGGGTTTTCGAGCATGAACCGCCTTTTTAAGGTCATGCCACAGCATCTCAATAGGATTCAGGTCAGGACTTTGACTAGTTTATGTTCTTTTTGCTCAGCAGCGGTTTTCGTCTTGGAACTCTGCCATGCAGACCATTTTTGCCCAGTCTCTTTCTTATGGTGGACTCATGACCACTGACCTTTGCTGAGGCAAGTGAGGCCTGCAGTTGTTGTGGGGTCTTTTGTGACCTCTTGGATGAGTCGTCACTGTGCTCTTGGGGTAATTTTGGTCGGCCGGCCACTCCTGGGAAGGTTCTCCACTGTTCCATGTTTTTGCCATTTGTGAATAATGGCTCTCACTGTGGTTCGCTGGAGTCCCAAAACTTTAGAAATGGCTTTAAAACCTTTTCCAGACTGATAGATCTCAATTACTTTCTTTCTCATTTGTTTCTGAATTTCTTTGGATCTCGGCATGACGTCTAGCTTTTGAGGATCTTTTGGTCTACTTCACTTTGTCAGGCAGGTCCTATTTAAGAGATTTCTTGATTGCGAACAGGTGTGGCAGTAATCAGGCCTGGGTGTGGCTAGAGAAATTGAACTCAGGTGTGATAAACCACAGTTTTAACAGGGGGGCAAACACTTCTTCACACAGGGCCATGTAGTTTTGGATTTTGTTTTCCCTTAATAATAAAAACCTTCATTTAAAAACTGCATGTTGTGTTTACTTGTGTTATCTTTGACTAATATTTAAATTAGTTTGATGATCTGAAACATTAAAGTGTGACAAACATGCAAAAAAATAAGAAATCAGGAAGGGGGCCAACACTTTTTCACACCACTGTATATACAGTGCTGCTTGAAAGGTTGTGAACCCTTTAGAATTGTCTAAATTTCTGCATAAATATAACCCAAAAAATCATCAGATTTTCATGGAAGTCCTTAAAGTTGACAAAGACAACCCAATCAAACAAATGAGATAAAAATATATACTTTGTCATTTATTTATTCAGAAAAATTATCCAATATTACATATCTGTGAGCGGCAAAAGTATGTGAATCTCTAGGATTAGCTGTTAATAAAGATGCCATCTGTTCAGAGTTGTTTTCAATCAGTGAGATTACTATCAGGTGTCAGTGTGTGCCCGGTTTTATTTAGAGAACAGGGATCTATCAAAATTTGGTCATGTTTGTGGAACTGTATCATGGCACAAACAAATGAGATCTCTGAGGACCTCAGAAAAAGAGTTGTAGGTGCTCATCAGGCTAGAAAAGGTTTCAAAGCCATCTCTAAAGAGTTTGGATCAATCCACAGTCAGGCAGATTGTGTACAAATGGAGGAAATTCAAGACCACTGTTACCCTCCCCAGGAGTGGTCCACCAACAAAGAACACTCTAAATGCAAGACTTGTAATAGTCAGCGAGGTTTCATAGGAACCCAGGGTAACTTCTAAGCAACTGAAGGCCTTTCTCACATTGGCTGATGTTAATGTTCATGAGTCCATCATCAGGAGAATCAGTGAGATGACTATCAGGTGTCAGTGTGTGCCCGGTTTTATTTAGAGAACAGGGATCTATCAAAATTTGGTCATGTTTGTGGAACTGTATCATGGCACAAACAAATGAGATCTCTGAGGACCTCAGAAAAAGAGTTGTAGGTGCTCATCAGGCTAGAAAAGGTTTCAAAGCCATCTCTAAAGAGTTTGGATCAATCCACAGTCAGGCAGATTGTGTACAAATGGAGGAAATTCAAGACCACTGTTACCCTCCCCAGGAGTGGTCCACCAACAAAGAACACTCTAAATGCAAGACTTGTAATAGTCAGCGAGGTTTCATAGGAACCCAGGGTAACTTCTAAGCAACTGAAGGCCTTTCTCACATTGGCTGATGTTAATGTTCATGAGTCCATCATCAGGAGAACACTGAACAACCATGGTGTGCATGGCAGAGACGCAAGAATAAAGCCACTGCTCTCCAAAAAGAACATTGGTGCCCATCTGCAGTTTGCTAAAGATCATGTGGACAAGCCAGAGGAATACTGGAGAAATGTTTTGTGGATGAATGAGACCAAAATAGAACATTTTGGTTTAAATGAGAAGCATTATGTTTGGAGAAAGAAAACTGCATTCCAGCATAAGAACCTTATCCCATCTGTGAAACATGGTGGTGGTAGTATCGTGGTTTGGGCCGGTTTTGCTGCATCTTGGCCAGGATGGCTTTCATTGTCATTGATGGAACAATGAATTCTGAATTATACCAGCAAATTCTGAAGGAAAATGTCAGGACATCTGTCCAAGAACTGAGTCTCAAGAGAAAGTGGGTCATGCAGCAAGACAACGACCCCAAGCACACAAGTCATTCTACCAAAGAATGGTTAAAGAAGAACAAAGTTAATGTTTTGGAATGACCAAGTCAGAGTCCGGACCTGAATCCAAATAAAATGTTGTGGAAAGACTTGAAGCAAGCAGTTCATAGGAGGAATCCGACAAAACATCACAGAGTTGAAGAGGTTCTGTATTGAGGAATTGGGCTAAAATTCCTACAAGCTGTTGTGCAGGACTGATCAGCAGTTACAAGAAACATTTAGCTGCAGTTATTGCTGCAAAAGTGGGTCAGACCAGATACTGAAAGCAAAGATTCACATACTTTTGCCACTCACAGATATTTAACACCGGATCATTTTTCTCAATAAATAAATGACACAGTATATATTTTTGTCTCCTTTGTTTGATTGGATTCTCTTTGTCCACTTTCAGGATTTGTGTGAAAATCTAATTATGTTTTGGGTCATATTTATGCAGAAATAAAGAAAATTCTAAAGGGTTCACAAACTTTCAAGCAGCACTATATATATATATATATATATATATATATATATATATATATATATATATAATTTGAGAGTAAAATGTTATGTGATGATCTCAGCACGTTTTTATGAGATTCTCATACTCCACCTAATTTCGCAGGTAGCTCATTTCTTAGAAAAAGGAACACAAAGACATACAGCATTTGAATCAGGATTGGCTTGCCATGCAATTAAAAAAAAAAACTTGTAATGCAATTCGTTGTATGGAAAATCCAGAAACATCAGTCAGCCAGTAATTTCCCTCACTCTGCTCCACCTGCATATAAGCTCGTCCCCTTTTTCTTCTCGTAACTTCATTCAACCAGTGCAACTAGTCAAACAGGTTTTTGTGCTCGGAGGTAGGCTACTCAGAACTACTTGGACGGTAAAAGCGGGAGTCACAAATCGGTTTTAGTTGCGTTTACCATCTTGAACATCAGGACCATTTCATGAGGCAAACTAACAATGAGTGAGTATAACTGGTCAAATGAACATAAAAGTGCCTCATATACTGTAGGTTCATTGGTTTGTCAGACTCACTGTAATATTCATTTGTATCATTTTAGAGCACGATCGCATGTGTGGCAGTCGATGTCTGGGTCCAATGACTTTTAATAAGGACCTGACAGGCCAATATGTGACCCTCAGCCAAGGAGGACAACTCGCGTCCAGAGACCCCTCATCCTTTATGAACGGTTTGGCGTTTCTCAGCCGCACTGTAAAAGTGGATGAAAAGCTGTGTATACGTATTGAGGACCGCACCTCGTTGTGGGATGGAAATCTTCGTGTGGGGTTCACCAACATCTGCCCACAAAGAAACAATTTACCACCTGCCTCATTACCAGACCTCAGGGACACACGAGGATACTGTGTTGTGCCAGTGCCTGAGGACTTGTCTCAGTGCGGTGTAGAGCTTCAGTTCTGGATAAACTATGCAGACATGGTTATTGTGCAAGAGATAGGAGGGGAGAAATATTATCTCAAAGCAGAAGGACTTAACCTGAATAATCCGCTGTGGGTTTTCATTGATCTGTACGGGAGCACAAGAGCCGTCCGCCTTCTGAGTTAAGTGTTCAGTTGTCAGAACTGATACTTGAATATGTTTAAATGCATAGAATCTTTTGTAAAAATGTTGAATGTGCTGTAGGATCAAGGAGGGGCAGTCGAACATCATGCCCAGTTTGTCCTGTAGACAGTACGTCTGGCATCAACTGGCTAGCGAGAGCGGTTGAGCGACAAACATCAGAGGAAGAGCATAGCAATAACCATAAAACAGGTGAGAATGTTTTCTTAAGACACTAATATCAAAAATGAATCATCCATCAAATAACTTTCATCTTTGTAGTTTTAGTACCCTGTGTAGAGTTATCATTGACCTTGATTTCATTATACTTAGAATCCAGAAAGGTCCAGAAAACATCATCTTACTGGAAACCGAGTCTCTTTCTCGTACAGTATGCCAACCAGACGACCATAACAAGCCCCAGAGAAAGTTCAGAACTCACAAGAGTTGGTTTAGGTACTTTATCTGGCTCTTTTTAGCCTAAAATACATCACCAGCAACGACAGTTCTCTATAGTACTCATAACTTATATGTTACAATTAACACCAATTTGAAAGATTAAGAATCTTATTATATGTTTTCTGTGTTTGCTTTCTAGGCATATCTGTTCAGGGGTCAAGAGGGGTAGATCTTAACTGGACTTGGCGAGAGCTGTATCTCTTCATTTGCTCCAGATATCCTTTGGTCGACCTGGGTGTGATTGGTTTCCATTTTGCAAATTATCTGGCTCTTTTTAGCCTAAAATACATCACCAGCAACGACAGTTCTCTATAGTACTCATAACTTATATGTTACAATTAACACCAATTTGAAAGATTACTGACAGACGTGTCCTTGACCTGTAACTGCACTTGATTAGAAAGCTCTAAACCAGTTCTGTTCACAATGAGCTAAATGTTTTATTTATTTAATAATATAACATTATTATAAATATAAATAATATGTGTTTTTGGTTTATTTATTTAAGGAGGGACCATACATATTAATAACACATAACAAAAAATGTGTCAGATTTAGCCAAACTGACTAATTTGGCACCTACAATGATCAGTCACAACATTAAAACCACTGACAGGTGAAGTGAATATCATTGGTTTTATCGTTACAATGGCACCTGTCAAGGGGTGGGATATATTAGGCAGCGAGTCAAATTGAGTTCTTGAATTTCATGTGTTGGAAGCAGAAAAAATGGGCAAACTAAAAGATCCGAGTAACTTTCACAAAAGCCAAATAGTGATGGCTAGATGACTGGATCAGAGCCCCCCCCCCCCCCTGTGGGGTGTTCACGGTATGCAGTGGTATCTACCAGAACTGGTGGTAGGAAGGACAACTGGTGAACCAGTATCAGGGACATGGGTGCCCAAGGCGGGAGTTAAGGCTAACCTGTATGCTCTGATCACACAGAGCAGTAGCTCAGATAGCTGAAAAACAGGAATGGTTTGTGGAACATGACAAAGAGTTCAAAGTGTTGCCTTGGCCTCCAAATTCTTCAGATCTCAACCCGATTAAGCATCTATGGCATGTACTGGACCAAAAAAATCCAGTTGGCCCCACCTCACAACTGGCAGAATCTGCTGCTAATGTCTTGGTGCCAGGATGAATTCAGAGGTTTTGAGGAGTCCGTGCCTCGACACATCAGAGCTGTTCTGCATGGCAGCATGAGGGGGATATACAACATATTACGCAGGTGGGTTTAATGTTGTGGCTGATCGGTGTATGTGCATTGAACTTTTAATTAAAAAAATATCCCTGTCAATAGGGAGCTGATTTTCTCTTTGCTGCTGTAACAGCTTTTACTCTTCAGTAAAGGCTGCAGAGATCTGAGGCACACATTTAGACACAACAGTAGCCTATCAGTGAGGTCTGATTTTGGCAGATGCAGGTCTTGGCATCCCAAGTGTGTTCAATAGGAGTTCAGGTTTGGGTTTTTGCAGTCAAGCTCTTTCCTACCAACTTTGGTCCACCTAAAATATTTGCGTATTCATTGTGCACCTGATAGAAAAGGGTGTAGTGCACCTGTTCATTCGAACAACATATTACGCAGGTGGGTTTAATGTTGTGGCTGATCGGTGTATGTGCATTGAACTTTTAATTAAAAAAATATCCCTGTCAATAGGGAGCTGATTTTCTCTTTGCTGCTGTAACAGCTTTTACTCTTCAGTAAAGGCTGCAGAGATCTGAGGCACACATTTAGACACAACAGTAGCCTATAAGTGATGTCTGATTTTGGCAGATGGAGGTCTTGGCATCCCAAATGTGTTCAATAGGAGTTCAGGTTTGGGTTTTTGCAGTCAAGCTCTTTCCTACCAACTTTGGTCCACCTAAAATATTTGCGTATTCATTGTGCACGATTGTACACTTGGTTTTGTGCACCTGATAGAAAAGGGTGTAGCTAGCATGTTCATTCGAACAGTTTGTCTACATTCTGAGTATTTAATTAATGCGTGGTGGTTTAAAGTGCCTGCCTGAGGAAATTGACTTCGCATGATTCCTGGTAAAGTTTATTTACCAAGACAAAAAAATTGCAATCATCTGAGGAGAAACTTAAATAAAACATTAAAGTAGAAAGGCATGATCACTATTAATTAATACTAAACAATCATGCATTTTATGAGCCTTTATTCTCAACACCATGTTTTAGTTTCTTTTTTGACTAGCTTTTATGTGTTACCTGATAAAGTCTGGCTCCTTATACATAACAAATCATTTCAGAACTAACTTATTGTGAATACACCATAATGCAACATACACTTTAATCCATGGTGGACAGGACAGGAATAATTTCCTTTTAGTCATGCTTTATATATGAGGATTCTTTCTTCACTATTTGGGGTATTGACTGCACAGATTTTGCTTGTGCAATGCTTGTGTGCATTGCAATGTAAGCTTGAATAGAAAATACATTTAGATATTTAAGCTATTACAAAACAAATGGTTGTAGTTGTCATAAGATGAGTGAATGACTGGCTGAATAAGCATATTATATCATAAATATAATAACCTTGACCCAAGCACTCAAATTGAAAGTGAAATAATACTAAATACAGTATGTTGTCTGCATAGCCAAGCAGCTTTAAACCCAGCAATCAGCAAAACACAAAGCAGCCTACCCTCGATCCAGCAAATATGCTTACTTTTAGAAAACAGCTGGATGGCTCATTGAAATGGCTGCATGGCAAAAGTGAAAATTTACACTGAATTTATTGAGTTTTAGCTACTCATTGCTTGTCAAATGTAATGTTAACTGGGTTTTCTTGAATTTCAAGAAATGGTTTCTTAATTAAATGACAAAAATCAACAAAAGAAACACATGGATGACTAAATAGAAAATTCCAACTGCTGTCAATTTTCTTGCAGACGAATGGAGTCATCCTGAAGGTAACTTTCCAGGCTCCGCCCCCAATAGTCCCACCTCTATCCTCATCCTATGAGGAGAAATGTTTAGTTATAAACTACAACACCTGCACCTTAAAAAGCAACATATTCCTCATCCACTTTAACTAGAGAAACAGAGCTACTGAAGACGATAACAAGAGCTGGCTAAGAAAACAGGATGACAGAGAAGAAGAAAGGTAAGAAGATGAAAGTTGCAAATGGCAACAATATAGGCTATCTTAATGAAAAAGAAAATGTCAAGTTGAAAGAGAATTATATCGGTAGGCTATTTAAAAATGTAAATTAGTAAGTTGTGAATTAAAATTAATTAGTTTGTTTTAACCAATGTTAACCAACCTTTTTACAGTAATGTAAATTACAGTAACTAATTACAGTAATGCATACCATTTAATCGTCAATGAATAATTATTTTTTATATGATGTGTTAATAATATCTAACTATTATTTACCGTGCAATTTTGGAGTGTCCGAGGTTTATATGTGTTTATAATATTTCCGATTATATGTGTGATGTGATCTGGATGTGCTGCACAAGGAAACTTTCCGAATATACTGATTTTGACAGTGGGCTGCGGCGGCCTCTAGTGGCTAGTGTCTGAGCTGGACAGCAGGAAGTTCCATGAATCGGTTCCTTCGAACAGTCCGCTTCAAAGAATCAGCTCAATTTAGCCTGTGTAATTAAATATACAGTTATTACGTTTGGACTTTTATTAACAAGGGTATTCATTGTCATTTCATGTGTCCTAGTTCAGGTTGTTCCAGACATGATTTATGTCAATTAGAACCTGAATGTAATTTGCATTTCCATTAAACAAACACTACGAAACGCAATTTTAATCTTTTGGCTGAGATCAAAACCAACTCTATTTCATATGTGTGTAAAACGGTCATGTCGTAAATATATGTCAAATACGTCGTAGGCCGAATTTGCTCTCAGTTCATTGAGGAGTGACAGATCCATTAGATTCGTGAGTCGTTTGAACCGATTCAGCTCAAAAGAATGATTCGCGAATCAGACGCGCAGGAAAGTCCCCGTGTAATGCAACACTATTTACGCCAACTGCCGTAAAACTCCAACGAAGAAGAAGAAGATGAATCAAAACAGAGAGAGCCACGCCGCTTAAATGAATCTCTAATGCCAGATTTCTCTCTTTATTTGTCCTCCAGAGAAAGAGAAGTGCGTGTGCCACACGCCGTTGAGCCTGAAAGCGATTTCTTTCCACTCAGACGTGAAGGGTCGTCTGATAACGCTGAGTGACGGCGGCCGCCGGGTGACCAGGGACGAGTCGTCCTTCTGCCACGGGCTGACCTTTAGCGGGCGGCCGGTGGAGAGAGAGGAGAAGCTGCGCCTGCGGGTCGAGCGCTCGGACGGAGGTATTTCTTTCCACTCAGACGTGAAGGGTCGTCTGATAACGCTGAGTGACGGAGGCCGCCGGGTGACCAGGGACGAGTCGTCCTTCTGCCACGGGCTGACCTTTAGCGGGCGGCCGGTGGAGAGAGAGGAGAAGCTGCGTCTGCGGGTCGAGCGCTCGGACGGAGACTGGCACGGAGCGCTGCGGCTCGGGTTCGCTCATGTGTCACCCGAGCAGACACCTCTACCCCCTCTGGCCATCCCAGACCTGACCAACTCTCCTCTGTACGCGGCGGTGTTAGTTCCCGAGCACATCTGTCGCGCTGGCTCAGAGGTTCAGTTCTGGCTGAAGAAGAACGGCAGTGTGAGGATACGAAGCTCTGATGGCAGAACACACACGGAACCGACCACCCTGAACCCCGAGTGGCCCGTCTGGGCGATTATTGACGTCTACGGGCAGACCACGGCAGTCACGATGCTCGGTGAGGCTTCTGGTCAAGTCAAGTCAAGTCACCTTTATTTATATAGCGCTTTTAACAATACAGATTGTGACAAAGCAACTGAACAGCATTAATTAGGAAAATAGTGTCAATAATGCAAAATGACAATAGTAAACACTAATTTTCCTGTTGTCTTCTGAGCGCGCTGGCTCAGAGGTTCAGTTCTGGCTGAAGAAGAACGGCAGTGTGAGGATACGAAGCTCTGATGGCAGAACACACACGGAACCGACCACCCTGAACCCCGAGTGGCCCGTCTGGGCGATGATTGACGTCTACGGGCAGACCACGGCAGTCGCGATGCTCGGTGAGGCTTCTGGTCTGTCCTGTTGTCTTCTGAGGGGATTAAAGGGATAGCTCACCCAAAAATGAAAATGCTGTCATTATTTACTCACCCTCAAGAGTTTCTTTCTTATGTTGAACCCAAAAGAAGATATTTTGAAGAATGTGGGGCAACCAAACAGTTGACGGTAGCCATTGAGTTGCATTGTATTGAGGGGAAAAAACACCCAGAAAAAAAGAAAGTCATA